TAGGAACCTACAACCAGGAGAAGATAAAATAGATGAATGGGATCTTCTAAGACTCAAATCCCTATGCACATCCAAAAACTTCTCCAACAGGGTAAAAAGGGAAGCCACTGACTGGGAAAAAGTATTCGGTAATAACATATCAGATAAGGGACTTATATCCAGAATTTATGAAATACTTGAGCACCACAAGATAAAGGTAAGGATTCCAATAGAAAAATGGGCACAGGATATGAACAGGCACTTCACCGAAGACGACATTCAGATGGCTAACAAGCACATGAAGAAATGCTCAAAATCCCTAGCCCTAAGAGAGATGCAAATTAAAACAACTATGAGATATCATTTCACCCCAGTCAAAATAGCAAAATTTAACAGAACAGCAAGCAACAAATGCTGGCGAGGTTGTGGAGAAACTGGAACCCTGATTCACTGTTGGTGGGAGTGTAAAATGGTGCAACCCCTGTGGAAAGCAGTATGGCGCTTTCTCAAAAAGTTGCAAATAGAGATACCATTTGACCCAGCAATTCCACTATTGGGAATATACCCTGAAGAGACCATAGCTGACATCCAAGCAGATATATGCACACCCATGTTTATTGCAGCTTTGTTCACAATAGCAAGGAGTTGGAAACAACCTAAGTGCCTATCAACAAACGAATGGCTAGAGAAGCTGTGGTATATTCGCACAATCAATACTATGCTGCATTGAAAAACAAGGAACTCATGCAATATTATTCAAAATGGTTGACTCTGGAGAACATTATGCTGAGTGAAATATCCCAGTCACAAAAGGACAAATACTGTGTAACCCACTGTTATAAAACATGACTGACATGTGGCATTGGGAGAGAATAGAAAGAATGGATAGATGATGAACATTGCATTGGAAAGATGAGAGGAAGCACCATCTGAAAGGAATATATGGTTAGCATTATATGCGTGACAACAATTTGGAACAAGAGGTGTATTGTAAAGTGGACTTGGGAAGATCGAAGGGAGTGGCAGGGAGGAAAACGTGCAACAATGAATAAATTAAAAAATATCATTTCAAAAACATGGATTAAAAAAATCCTTATCAGGCATAGCATTTTTTCCTCTGAAAAATTACCTGATTGTGTATTTTGCTCACTGTTTTTTTCCATCTTGCCCCCTAAAAAACAACAATAGCAAAAACTTTATCCAGGTTTAAAGTTGTCTGTTGCCCTAAGAGAATACGCCGTCCCCTTTTCCTTATGACTCAGGGTGAAGTCTCTCTCAGGGAGGAGTGATAGGGAATGGCAAAGGACACACTGACAAGGGAGATTAATCAGAACTGGCTTTGACAAGCACTGTGGCAATTGGACAATTAAAACAGACATGGGGGGGAAGAAGAACGAACTGGGGAGGAGGGTAGAGAGAATGGTGCAGCAATGAAGGAATGAAAACCCAAAATCCCTGTAAAATTTCATTAAAGCTAATAAAATTTAATAATAATTTAAAAAAGCATCGAGTAAGGTAATTTGTTAAATTTTTATTTATGTTATTTTACAGCTCTGTCATTGGGTACACAAATATTAATATCATTATATGCTTTTTTTCAATTGATCCTTCTGTTCATCTTACCCTAGATTTTGTCTTAGAGTCTATTTTATCAGAAATCAATAATGCCACTTCTAGTTGGTTGGTATATTTTATTATTGCTTTTTCTTCCTCTCAAAATGAACAAAATACCCAATGTTAAAGCCACTAAACAACTTACAAACTTGAAAAATTAAAACACTTCAGATAGGCAATAGACTTGTATTATGAAAGCAATATATTCCAAATTTCAAAAATTTGACAGGTTCTATAGAATGTCTTCTCATCAGTAGATGGCTATTATTGCTTTTTGCTTAGTATCTTTTTTTTACACACTTTTCTTTTTAGTCTACCTTTGTCCTTTGTCTAAGGTGTGTCTCTTATAGAGAGTATATTGACAGATCGCATTTTCCTATCCATTCTGCTGCTTTTTTTCCTCTTACCTGGTACATTTAATCCATTCACATTTAAGTCTAATTATCAACAAGTAGATTTATTGCTGTAGCTTTGCTACATTCTTTTTGTGGTACTGCTGATCTATCCACTTTTCCATGCTGAATTCCTGCTGTTTATGAAATTTAAAAATTTTCCTTTATTACTTTCATTTAGGTGTTTATAAAAGTCTTTCTGGTCTCTACCTTTTTTATTTTTATGAAAAAAGGAAAGTTTTTTTGGTGTTTGACTTGGTTGGGTTTTCCCCCCAATTCTTTGGAAGTTATAATATAAATTACTGATTTATTCTCAAGTCTAAACCAGTTCACTTTATCTCAAAATATTTGGCTTCCTCTCCCTTTGTGAGTGTGATAATCCATCATATTCCCTCTTTTACTTTGTAGTCGTCTTCATTTACTGACTGATACTTCTGGTTCTCTATTTTTAGTGTCATATGTTTGTTACATTTCATGTATTTCTGTGTAGGTCAATTTCTGAATGGTATAAGTAATGACCTAATTTCAACATTATATTTGAGGGACAATTTTGCTAGATACAGCACAGAATTCTTGGTTGAAAATTTTTTTCCTTTCAGTTTTGTATATGTCATCTCATTGTCTTCTTGACTACATGCATGGTTTCTGTTGAGAAATTAGACCTTCTAATTTTCAATTTATTTTTTTAGTGTATTTTAAAAAAGATTCTTCTAGAGTTTTATCTATGTTTTTCTGGATTTTGTCTGTGGTTTCCTCAAATTTTTCTTGATTTAATAGAGATATTTAAGTATCTTAAAAATTCCTTATCAGAGGAATTACCCAAAATACCATTTGCACCAGAAATTCCACTACCTGGGAGATATACCCTAAAGAAACCAGAGTTACAACTCAAACAGATGTATGACTATGTTTGTTCCTATGTTATTCACGATAGCAAACAGAAGGAAGCAACACAAGGGTGCACCAACAAACAAATGAATAGAAAAGCAACAGTACATTCGTACAATGGAATATTACACAGCACTGAAAAACATTGAACTCGTAAAACATTGCACGACATGGGTGAGCCTGGAGGACATTATGCTGAGTCAAGTATCTTAGTCACAAAAGGACAAATACTGTGTAACCCACTGTTATAAAACATGACTGACATGTGGCATTGGGAGAGAATAGAAAGAATGGATAGATGATGAACATTGCATTGGAAAGATGAGAGGAAGCACCATCTGAAAGGAATATATGGTTAGCATTATATGCGTGACAACAATTTGGAACAAGAGGTGTATTGTAAAGTGGACTTGGGAAGATCGAAGGGAGTGGCAGGGAGGAAAACGTGCAACAATGAATAAATTAAAAAATATCATTTCAAAAACATGGATTAAAAAAATCCTTATCAGGCATAGCATTTTTTCCTCTGAAAAATTACCTGATTGTGTATTTTGCTCACTGTTTTTTTCCATCTTGCCCCCTAAAAAACAACAATAGCAAAAACTTTATCCAGGTTTAAAGTTGTCTGTTGCCCTAAGAGAATACGCCGTCCCCTTTTCCTTATGACTCAGGGTGAAGTCTCTCTCAGGAAGGAGTGATAGGGAATGGCAAAGGATACACTGACAAAGAAGATTAATCAGAACTGGCTTTGACAAGCACTGTGGCATTTGGACGAGAACAAACTGGGAGGAGGGTAGAGAGAATAGTGCAACAATGAATGAGTGGAAGCCCAAAATCTCTGTAAATGTTTATGAAAATTAATAAAATATAATTATAGAAAAAAAAAAAAAAAAAAAAGAAAATGACTTAAAAATAAAAAAAAAAAGTTGTCTGTTGCCTCGGAGATATTGTCTTTGGATATGGCTTTGTCTCTGTATTGTTTTGTTTTGCCATATCTAATAGAACTGTGCAAGTATGTTGCATTACTTGCTAGTTTGGTCATTTTTAATATCTTCCCTCCTATTTTCTTATGGGTCTGGCAGAGGATGGAGGTCTGTGTGTAGCTCTTGCTCATGGTTTGTGTAGAGGAGTTGAGGATAGATGGGGCTGGTGTTGGTTGTCTTCTTTCATCAGTCAAGTGGAACAGGAACCATTCTTTAGTCTTGAACCATGGCTGTCACTGTAGGAGACATATGTCGCTGGGTACTGTTGTCAATTCAGGCTGAAGTTAGCAGGTAGAAGAGAGTTAGTGTGAAAATTAATATTGTTCTTAAAAGTTCACAGTTGTTTAAAGAGAACACATTCATCACCTGCCTTACCCAACGATTCCTATGAAGATAATTTCCCTTCCTCCCCACCGTCATCAAAGTCCATTTCTTTACAGATCCCTCCCTTCTGTCCTTTCCGCCTCGGCCTTCCCCACACTTAACTGGCTCTGTACCAGTTGTTGTCAAGGAACACAGAGACACTAAGGACTTTCTCAGATCTATGATCACAAGGATATGCTACCTGTGCGAGCTACAGCAAAAAGGACAGGTAAGAGCAGCTAGCAGACAGTCAAAGAGGATCAAACAAGGAGAGATGGGGAAAGAATTAAAAGGACAGATTCCTAGGTAGTACTGAAAGCATGAGGAATTGAGGGGAAATAGGATGGAGAAAAAGGATGGGAGATAAGGTTATTCAGCAATAAGACTAAAACAATCAAGCACAGATATTTGTGAGCACTGTCCATATGTTCTGTTCTTGGTAAGCACTTTGAAGGATTCTGGAGAAACTGACATGATACCTATAATCAAGAAACTTGGGGAGGTAAAAGACACACAAGGGGTATAATGAGCAAATGGTTAAATAGCAAACTCTGAGAACTGAAATAGACAGTCAGAGATGACTTTTTAGAGACACATGCCTCCAACTGGATCTTGTAGGGTCAATACAATTTTAATTAGCAGAGAAAAGAAAAACGGTCTCAAGAATAATATGGAAGCAAAGTCAATAATAGGAAAGAAAGTGTTTTGACAACCACCCTCTATTACTTCTGTCTCCCCTTACTCCATAGGAATTACAGCAAAAGATGTGAAGGGACTCATACCCCTGATAATACTCATGGTGATAATTTTCCTGCTGCTTCTGTTCTGGGAAAATGAGATGCATGAAGAGGCAAGGATGCCAAGCTTTGAGCAATTGAATGTGGACTACCCTCGGACTGATGTTCCTATGAGATACTGCAACTACATGATCTTACAAAGAGTCATCAAGGAACCCGGCAACACGTGCAAAAAGGAGCATGTCTTCATCCACGAGAGGCCTAGAAAAATCAACGCTATCTGCACTTCTCTTGAGAAGCTCCCTTGCCACAACCATTCTACCTTTCCCTGCTTCCAGAGCAGGATTAAATTCAAAATGACAGCCTGTGAGCTCATTGAAGGTACCAGATATCCTGTCTGCAGGTACCACATCTCCCCCAAGGAGGGGTTCATTCTTGTCACTTGTAGTGATATTGGGGCAATTAATTTTCAGGGACTTATTGAGTAACTTGATTCCCGCACCTGAGTCTGACATGCTCTCTTTCACTCTCTTATTGGTATTGGTTCTGGTTCTTCTGGAGGCAGACCTGAGCTGTGGACATGGGTGAATGCCTTGAGTGAAATGGGCAGCCAACAGTCATTTATCCTGCCAGTGTTGCTGAGCTACAATCTTTTGATTATGTTTCTATTTAAAAAAAATCTTTACTGAATTAAACTCTGTATGTGTTTTAATTTCCTGTTCCTTGTTGTTGAGTCATTTGATGAGCATTTACAGTGAATCTTAAACTGGAATGAGATTAGTGTGTAAGGTATTCACTTTAGGCACAAAAATTAAAGAAATAAATCAAAGCAACTTGTAAACTAGATAGATTGTTCTAACTCAATATTATTTAAAAATAAAAATTAATGCAAAACTCCCCAGTGAGAACAAAACATCTCACATTTTTTCCTTTCTTGTGTGTACTATCAAGTCATATCTGACTGGCACAGATGGAGATTGCCCCTCCATCTTCAGCAGAGCATCTGGTGGATTCAAACCATGTGCCTTCAGGATTGCAGTGCAGCTTCTTGCCACTAGGCCACCACCTTACTTTTAAATAATTTACCCTGAGCCGTGGTGGCCTAGTGATAAGAAACTGCACTGCAATCTCGAAGCATGTGATTCAGTTCGAATCCACCAGCTGCTCTGCGGGAGAAGGATGGGTAATCTCCTCCTGTGTGATTAACTGACTTTGAAAACCCACTGGAGGGTCAACTACGGGTCACTTCTGATTCAATGGAACTCAAAAACAGCAAAAACAATCCCAGCCTTGATTCTAAGTGTAAAAATAATTGGAGTCATATCTTAGTGTCTGCTCTAAAGATGGTGCATTATGACTCAAACTGCAGCTATTGCTATTCAGCACCTCTCTGTTCCTTGAAAAGAGAGGAAATGGGTACCAGAAGAAACCTAACTGGAAACTGTTTTACTTAAAGACTGTGGGGGAAAATAAAGAAGGATTTCCCAGTGGGATAAGGATTGAAACTTTCAAAGCTAAAGGTCTCTCTTCTTTGCATTCCCCAGAGGGAGTAGTAGAGAGGATTTTGTTCCAAAATACAAACTCCTTTAATTCTTGGAAATAAACTCTGGTTAATTGCCCCATATCCAGTTATGAGCTTATCTTTACAGTTAAAGGATAAAAAGAAGAGAAGGAAGAGAAAGAGAAAAAATTCTTATTCTTAAAGTTTGATAAATTCTGTTTGTCTCTGAGCATTTGTTTCTTCAACTGAAAATTGAAGGAGTTGGGCTAGATAAAAAACCTCTGTGGTTTGTTCTTGGTCTATTTACCTCACAATTCTCTGAGGTAGTATAATGAGTTGGCATCCTGGAAGGAAGGTTTAGTACTGAGGAGCTGGAAGGGGTAAAGGATAGGTGGAAAACAAAGAGGAGATTATGTGGTCATTAATTCTAAATGGCACTATCTCACTCTTGTCTGAGAGCCAGAAACTCAGTGAGTTGTGTGGGCATGAGGGAGTCACAAAGCTACAGAGAGCCCTACCTATCTTGATTTTTTTCGGTTGAGAGACTTCAGATGTTTTATTTTTGATCTGGACTTCAATCAAGGCCAGATCAAAGAAGGACGCATCCTTGTGCTAGTGACTAGTTCTGCCTTTTGTAAACATCACGTTCTGATTGATAAGACGTGGGGAGGGGTGAGCCATGATTAAAGGATGTCTTGTAACCTCATTAAAAAGTCCAGATTTGCCCATCTCATGGTTTCTTCCACTTGGGACACATCCTTCCTGTGCTGAGTTCCATTACCTATTTTTTTGTGCAAATCCCGTTGTCACTTTTGTATCCATAGAAGTTTGCCTGATACCAAAAGAGCAAGGGGCTCAGCATTTAAATAGAATCAGAGGAGAACATGACTTTCCTAGCTCTTGGCTTGTTGGGCTCTGGTCATCACATTTCCCAGAAAAACCTTTGAAGTAACTGAAACATATCTCTTTGGATCCTGCTTCTACTTTCTGAATGCTAGTTCCTTTTCCTAAGCATTTCCTCAGATTCCATAAACCTTTATTTTCTCTCCAGTACTTTCCTCCTGTCTCCCCAAACTCTCCCTTCTAATTAAAAACAAAGTTTTGCAGATAAAAGCATTCTCATCAAAGTGTGAGTAACTAATACTCTTCAGTATAATCTATCCTCAGAGTATTTTTATTGAATAAGAATAAAAGCCCTATTAAAATGTATTGTGACAGTTTAAGGAGGTCTCTGTGTTTGGTTTTCTCCCAGCTCATAGATTGAAAATAAAACCCAGGCAGTGAATTGTTTATACTTGAAAGAACAATTTCTAGAAGACTAGGAGTCCCTCTACTTTTGTCTCCTTTTGGATTTCTTTTTCTCTTCATTGTCTTTCTAAAAATAACAGTACAGCTATTATCAGACATGAAAGGTGTAGAAGTTGGAAACAATCTAAATGCCCTACAAATTACTTTTTATTCCTGCCTTAACTCAAAACAAGTCTATGTTCAAGGCATCCTCTTTAAGGCACATTTTTTCGTGAATGTTACTGCTGTTGATGCTGTTGGGTGCTGTAGAGTTGGCTATGACTCATGACAATCATATGAACAAGGTTCAAAGCTTGTCCTGTCCTGCACCATCTTCATTAAGCCCATTGACATAGTCATTAATTATTAATTGTCTGTCAAGTCAGAAACAGTGAGATGGACTTAAGATAGGGCAGAATTCAGAGCTATTGTTCATAGGATTGTTATGAGTCACAGTCAATACATAACAACAATAATCCAGCAACAGAATTACTGACCAAACAAAAATTCATTACCTTGAGTCTGTTGAGTCATAGTGATCCTACACAATGCAAAGTACAACTACTTCATAGGGGTTTTTTGGCTGTAGTCTCTAAGGAAGCAGATCATCAGGCTTCATTCTGCAGCACCATTGAATGTGCTTGAAAGGACAACCTTTAGGTTAGTAGTTGAGAAAGAACTATTTATACTACCCTGGAAACAAGACTCAAGTATTTAGGCATATATATTTTTTTGAAAAAATGAAACAAATCTATTGCCTGAAAATGCTGATTCTTTGCTCTAATGCACATATCACTTGCCATGCTTCTGAGAGCTGGACAAAGACTAAAGATGACAGAAGAAGAATGGATGCCTTTGAGTTGTGGTGTTGGAGAAGAGTGCTGAAGATCTCATGGATTGCCAAAAGGATAAACAGACAGGTCTTGCAGAAAGTGCAGCCAGAGTGCTTCTTGGAGGCAAATTGGATGAAGCTTCATCTCTCTATCTTGGACATGTTGCTAGAGGAGGTTATTCCTTGGAGAGACATTATGCTTGGGAAGGTGGAGGGTTGGTGAAAGAGAGGATGACCCTCAACAAGTTGGATTGACACAGTGACTGTGGCAATGGGCTTGAGTGTGTTGGAAATTGTGAGGATGGCACAGGGTAGGACAGTATTCAGATCAGTTGTTCATAGGATCACTATAGGCCGTACTTGGCTTGATGGCACTTAACAATAAAACCAACAACAATATACAAGCCAGTTACCATCAAATTGATTCTGACATATGGTGACCTGATGTATCATAGAGTAGAACTATGCTTGGCAGATGAATCTTAGCAGAAAGTATAGAGTAGCAAAGGAATGCCTATCTGTGTTTCTTTGACTGTGCAAAGGCATTTGATAGCAAATTGTGGCTAACCTTGAGGAAAACGGGAACCCCAGAACACTTGATAGTGCTCATGCAAAACCTATACTTGGACCAGGAGGTAGTTCTTGGAACAGAGCAAGGAAACACTGCATGGTTCAAAATCAGGAAAGAGGTGAATCAGGGATGCATCCTGTCTTCATACTTTTTAAATCTATATGCAGAACAGATCATTTGGGAAGTTGGGCTTTATGAGGAGGAATGTAGCATCAAGATTGGAAGAAGACACACCAACAACCTATGTTACACAGATGACACAACTTTGCTTGCTGAAAGTGAGGAGGACCTGAAGCTCTTGTTTCAAGGTTAAAGGACTGTAGTCTTCATACGGATTGAAGCTCAACATCAAGAAAACAAAGATTCTCACCACTGGGCCATTTGGCAGCACCATAATAGAGAAGAGATTGAGGTTGCTGGCAATTACAGCTTGCTCAACTCCACAATCAATACTCTTGGCATCAGCAGTCAGGAAATCAAAAGACAAATTGCACTGGGAAAATTGTTGTCAGGGATCTCTTCAGAGTATGTAAAATCACTAAGATGCACCTAATCCAGGCCATGGTCTTCACAATTACTTGCTATGCTTCAGAGATCTGGACAATGAGTAAGGAAGACAGAAGAAGAATTGATGTCTTCAAATGTGGTGCTGGAGAAGAGTCTTGAACATACCATGGACTGCCAAGAAAAAAAAATTGGTCTGTATTGGAGAGGATGAAATCAGGCTTCTCCTTGGAGGTAAGGATTTTGAACCTTCATCTCACATACTTTGGGCATGTGGCCAGGAGAGATCAGTCCTTGGAGAAGGGCATTATGTTCAGAAGGGTGGAGGGACAGCGCAGGAGAAGTCCCCGGATGAGATGGATTGATACAATAACTGGGGCAAAGGGGTAGATGTGTCAGAGTCAGTGAGACTGGCTCAGGACAGGGCCAGACTTCAGAGCTGCTATATTTAGGGTCACTATGGGTAACAGGGCACTTGATGGAAACTAACAACAACAACAACAACGACAAGATGGTTGGCTGTGTTTTTAATGTTTGATTTTCTGTTTTCTTTGACAGTAGAGCATCAGACTTTCTCCTGAAGTTTTCCTACATGAACTCAATAAACCAACCTTTCATTTAGCAGCTGAGCATTAAACTATCTGCACCATGCAGGCTCGACAATGCCACAATACAATATTTTTTTTTAAAAATGCATATGTGTTAATATCAGATGAGTGTAATGAGAAGTGAAAGATAAGTTCAAAAGAGTCATTTGAGTGTGGTAAAGTGTATTGAAGAGCAGGATTTTTAAGAATTTAAAGAGACAGAAAAGAAAGAAGCAAAATGCAAACACAGCATAGGATGTATCAGAGAAGAATGAGTCACACAGTTTTGACTAGAGCATATTTATGTGGAAAATAAAGGGGTATATAAGCCTTGAATGGGCGGTTAAAATTTGGTCAAAGAGCACCTTAGCTGTCCTCCTGTAGACAATGAGAAATATTTCAAAGTTTCTGAATAATGTTATTGCAAGATTTTTGCATCATGGGGCTTTTTTTTTTTTAAAAGAAGCATTTTAAAGAAATCACAAGAGTGAAGACTGACAATCAGGAGGTAGGTAGAGATAATAGTTCAGGAGGCATACATATGATAGAAGGATTCTCTTAAAGAGAGTAAAGGAAAAAATCAGATCCTTCTAGAACAATAAAAAGAAATAAACCCCTAAAAAAATCATTCTTTCTGGGATTTCCATTAAGAATTTTCAGTGATGACTTTAATGAAAATATTTTCTACAATGATTAAGACAATTTATGTTGTTATTGTTTGTTTTGCTGAGAAACAGTGTTTGATGCAGTATAGAATAAAAAAGAGGAATTATATTCTATACCAAGGAAGTTTTCAACTTTAATATGTGGAGAAAGAGTAACAATTAAGTAAAAAAGACCATGTTATATGAAGTACAATATAATCTGCTGTGCTTCAGAAAAACAAAAACAAAACAAAAAAGAAAAATTCTTCTGGGTTAAAGTATAAGGAGACAAGGAAGAGTCACAGAAGAAGAAGAAATAGTCACTCTCAGGTCATTCAAATTGTAACTTGTCATATGGACACTTTGCTCAGTTCTCTGAGATTTCTTGGTTCCACATTGTTTCCTCCTTCAGCCTCCTGCAATTCTATCCGCCCCTTTCTTGCCCCTCCTTCACTGTGACCTGATAACAGTATCATCCAGGAACAAACAAAATTTCACTTCTAGCCCTCTGACAAACTGGAATAATTCTCTACAGATCAACTTGCTAAAGATACTGGTAAAGAAAAAAGAAATACCATGACAGAGAATGAATAGAGGAAAAAAAGGAGAGATGGGGAATTGACATTGTGTTTTTTCTAGGGGCTAACATGCCAGGTACTGTGTGAGGCTGTAGGAGATGCAGTAAGAGATGGCTGTGTTGGGTGAGATTATTATACCCCCCATGGGGATGATAGATGATACCTACAGTAATATTTTAGATAAGAGAAATAACCTTTTGGTGCTTGGCACTTTAAATATATCAACTTAATGCTCACTGTCTTTCCCTCTCTCTCTCTCTGGTTTTTTTGTTTGTTTGGTTTTTGTTGTTTTTTTTTTCCCCAGATGGGAAACAGGTTAATTGAAGTAGTATAAATTGCTCAAAAGTAGAAGAACAGGAAACTGAAGCTGCATTTTCATGATCCATAGGTGATTGCCTTTTTAGTACATGATACGTCCATTTACACACAAGAATTTATATGTAAAGGATAGTCGTGGGGAAACTGAGATAACTACTTTCACAATATTGTCCTTGCTTTTATGTTTTAATTTCTCTCTCTTTTTTTAAAAAAGGTTGTACTCTTGAGATGGAGACATTTTCTCTGCTACTGCTGGACCTGGGGTTAATTCTTACAGGAAACTTGGAGAGCACGATGGAGATAGTTAATGGAGACTTTTCAGAAGAAAAGGCAGCATACAATATAACAAAAAGTGGTGAAGGCAAACAAACCATTGAGGTATCAATGAACTTGACCCTGTTAGATAAAAATACCAGACTCAGCAAATTCAAGGATGTTATACCTTCAGCATTGAAATTCAAAAAGTTACATTATAATTTTCCCAAAATAAGCAGCAATGAGTATTGTAATGTCATGATGATTGAGAGAATTGAGTTAGAAGCTAACCGATCGTACATATTGAGAAATAACCTCATTCATGGCACCATAGAAAGGATCCGTGGAATCCACAAGATCTCTAGCTGCAAGTGGGAACCAAACCTTGGCATGGTTCGAGGCCATCCGATGGAACCACATTGTGATAAAAGCCCAGAGCTAGATACAACCATGCCCCAGCTCTCTATAAGAAAACATTCCCTCAGGTGCCAATATCAAAGCATTACTTCATTCAAGAAAATGCTGACAGTTCTGGCAAGTCATTCTCTAATGAGCTGGTTAGTTAATGCTTGCAAATTGTAAATCCCACAGGGCTTTGAAACTGGGAGCTTTCTAAAGAAAGGAATATCCATTCTTCTTTCCTTACATTATTCCCATCTATCATCTAGCACCATGTTGTTCATAGGGTCATGAGAAGTCATAAACTTGCCAGCACCTGAAAACAGCAACATTTAACACCACAGTAAGCTCTTGATTTTTCATACTAATGATGTGAAAAATTAAAAACTATAGTTTAAAAAAAATTTAGTTTAATTAACATTTATCACTGTTCCTGAAGTTCAGATCCTCATTTATATTCTCTCTCTCACTCACGTGTTCTCTCGCTGGCATACATTGAGTATACCTCAAATTCAATTCATTGTTGTCTAGTCAGAGTCAACTTACAGTTGATCCTTCAATGGGTTTCCGAATATTGTCCATCCTTCTCCTGCAGAGCTACTTGTGGTTGTAAACCACCAAAGAGACATGATCTTTTCTTTACCAGACATAATTAAGGGGAGAAGAAATAATAATGTGGGTAATTGAAATTTAGTTGTACAGCCACTGGAACTGCTTAGAGGAATAGTCAACTATGTGGAAGCCATTATTATTACTACCTTTCTTAATATGCTACATAACTTAGGACTCCTAGATATATGCAATAATGTTTCACTTAAATTATGTTACGTGAAAGAAATCAAACTTAAATTAGTACATACTGTATCATCCCATATGGCAACGTGGAAAAGACAAAACTACAGAGATGAGAATGGAGCTGTGTTTACCATGGTTTGGAGTGGGAAGACAGAGAAGTTGATTACAAAGGGACAGCATGAAGAAATACTTCAACATAGTGGAGCTGTTTTATATGGTTATTTGATGGTATTTACACAACTGTAAGCATCTGTCAAAACTTACATTAGTGTGGAGAAAAAAGGGTAGCTTTTACTGTAAGTCAATTAAAAACAAATTTTTAAGTGTCAGGGAAAAATCAGAAAATAAATATAGTTAATTCATGTTAAAAAAAAAAGCATCCTTTGCTGGTTGGATAGGTGGAGACCTCTGAGAGCATTTGTTCTCTTGTTATGCTAATTTTTTCTTTGCCTTCTTTGGGATACTCTGGATGTTTTTGGTTGTCTTCATAACAACAATACTTATTGTAAATGTTGTTATGAATGGCTAATTAGTGTGCAGTATGAGAATAGCTATGAACATCATTCAATGTGCCACAAATTATTGTCATGTCAATTTGTTTTCATCACAGTTAAAGAATCTGTTCATGATCCATAAAGTCAAATGTTCTTGAATAGTCAATAAATAAAATGGAAAAAAATAATGTTCAGACATTTCTTTTAATTTGCAGTTTTATTCCTTAAACTAAGTGGTCACTGGTCAATTAATTATAAAATTTGAAAGGCACATCCAGCTAGCTATAGAAAGGATGAATTAACATCTGGCCATTATAAAGAGGAATGTGTTAGAATTACAAGAGAGTTGCTTTATTATGAGGGCAGAGTATATATGATAGCTTAAGTTTAGAAACACTTGTTGTACGTGAATGGAACAGAATGAAAATACAGCCTTAACTTCATTTTAAAGTATTGACATAATTTTGAAATCCATCACGGATTTTGAAAAGCTGCCTTTATGAATGATAGTTACTGTAAGCTTGGTAGTGATTGGTCATATATCTCAAGGATGATATTCCTTTCCTTTGAGAACTGGTAGGTGTAAGCTATTGAAAATTATTCCTAAAGAGTCTTTTCCATTATAGTCAAGGAGAAGATGCAATAGCTTGTGCCCAAAGAGTCTTGATACACAACACCAACAGATCTTTACAATGAACTCTTAGAAATAGACATGATTGGGGGGGAAAAAAAGAACAAAAAGAAATAGACATTATTGAGGAAGCAATCCTCATCAAAAACCATTACCCAGAAAAAACTGTCTTATACTTCCACAACTCATCTGGTCTTCAGTCATTAGTGTTCGATGCACCAGATACATTCTTAAGATGGCTTTTCAATTCAGTTGTAATACATATCACAACAATATCACATATTTTGGTTTTTGTGGACTTGTTTTAACTTTCTTCAGTTTGAACTTGCATGTGAATAGCTCATAGTCTCTTCTACGGTTAGCCTCTGACCTGGTTTTTACTGCTGATACTGAGCTTCTCCAGTGTCTTTCCACAAGTGCAGCCAATCTAATTTCTTTGTGGTACATCAGGGGAAGTTCATGTATTTAGTTGCAGTTTATATTTTTTTTTAAAAAAAAGTATTTGCAATGAATAAAATGTCGTTGTACTAAATTCTATCATTGGAAGCAGGAGCGGCATCTACTTCCTAAACAACATGCCTCTGGACACTCTATGAGCTTTGATAAATGTTAATAGTTATAGAAAGGCTTCAGGCCTTTTGTTCATAGGGTCACTATGATTTGTGCTCGATTTGAAGGCAATCAACAACAACAAATTTTATCATGCAATTTTCAGCCTTGTTTCTGTAACTAAAGTAATACTTTCCAACTACTAGTCCTTTTTCTAGTTTCCCATTTTTGCATTCCATTCACCAATTATTATTAATGTATGTTGATCTCATGTTCAATCAATTTCACACCACAAACATTGGTAAAAATCCTTAATTTCTTCATCTTTAGCTTTCACGGTTGGTTTATCTATTTGAAAAATAGTTGTATGGGTTACATTTAGACATTTAACATTTAAACATGTTACATTAAACAAAAATCCTCACCATTAGACTAATAGACAGCATCAAGATAGATGGGAAAAGGGCTAAAGTTGCCAATGATTCCATTTTGCTTGGACTCACACTCAACACTCATGGTAACGGCAGTTAAGACATGTTGGATCTGAGAAATCTGCTGTTAAGGAGGAGACCTCCAGAGTGTGCAAGAGCAAGAATATCAGATTAAAGACTACGATATGTCTGATCCAGGCCATGGTATTTACAGTTGTTTCCTATGCATCTGAAAGGTGGGCGATGAATAAGAATGACAGAAGAAACAATATCTTTGAATTGTGGTGCTGGTGAAGAGTATTACAAGGACTGCCAAAAGAACAAACAAATCTGTCTCGAAGGAAGAGCAACCAGAGGGCTCCTTAGAAGCCAAAATACTGAAACTTTATCGCACTTACTTTGGGCATATTTTCATGAGGAACCATCCCTGGAGAAAGACATCATGCTGGGAAACGTAGAAAGTTAGTGAAAGAGAGAAAGCCCTTCAACACAATGAATTGGTACAGTTATTACCACAGTGTTCTTAACAGGAGGATGGCACAGGATAGAGTAAGATTCAGATCTATTGTTCATAGTGCTACTAGGAATCATGGTATACTTGAAGACAGCTAACAATACAACAATCCCCACTACAACAGTACAAGAATGTATCATTTTCCTTGATCTGAGCATTTCATTGGTTTGACCTGTCATCTGTCAATAAACTTCTATTGTCTTTATTTACAAAAACTCCATGATTTTTCTAGGAAGATATCTTTGCTGTCTGAAATAAAGAGAAGGTATCTGTGAGTAATGAATTAAAATCTTTAATTTGATAGATGAGCCATTAAAGTGACTAAATTTTGACTAAGGAAATTTGTTTTAAAAATGTAGAAATCCCCTAAAGAGACTTATATCTGCCCCCCCAGCAGATATATGCACACCCATGTGTTTAAGCTCTCTCCCCCTTGGATCCTCTTACATGCTCTATAATAATGGTCCTAAACAACAACAAAACAAGAAAGAGCTCATTTGGCTCTTTCTTGGTGGACAGAAAGTGATGCTACCAAGCCAAAGGTAGGTGATTTTAGTCTGCAACACTCAGGCCAGTTGTAATTATTTTTGGTCAAACATTTTTCTAAGTGACATAGCACTGGTCTGTCCATTAGACGTACAGTGGTAACTCGTGGTTGCTGTGATGCTGAACACTGTGACACTAATTTGTCAAATGCGATAATGGTTACCCATGGTGGACAGTGTTTGGTGGAGCTCCCCGATTAACACAAGCTTCAAAGCAGGAGTGGCATCCACTTCTGAAATAACTTGCTTCCGGAAACCCTATGGACTTGGAGAAACAATGAAAGTTATACAAGTGTTCAGGTCTTTCGTTCACAGGGTCACTATGAGTTGCCTATGACTTGACAGCACTTAACAGCAACATACTGTATTTGTCTTTATGAGACTGAGTTAGTTCACTTAGCATAATGCTGATGTCTTAACAATATATTGTCTTCCAATTATTTTCAAGGTATTATCTCTCAGTTTATTGATATAATCCTTAATTTCTCTTAGGTAATGCTAGTGGCCTAGTTTGCAGGGAATAGCCCTGTTAACCTAGAGGTCATCCCTCTCTGATGGTTTTAATTCACCAACAGCTCAAGTGGAGAAAGATGAGCAATCTCTTGCGTGATTTACAACCTTAACAAATCTGCTGGAATCACAGCTATGTGTCAGAACTAACTCCATGGCAAGGAGATTTCATTTCACCTGCCTGTTTCATAGAGAGTTGTACTGCTGACCAAAGGTTCTCTAGTGGTTCGAATTCCCTGAGCCCTCAAGGGAGAAAGATAAGTGACTTCCTCCTGTGTGATTTTTTAGAAACTCAGGAATCAAATAAGGGTCAGCTATGAATTGATTCCGGCTCAATTGTAATGAGGGTCTGTGGTTTTGTTTTGTGGTGTTTTTTTTAAAAAAAAAATTCATTTCTTTTAGTTATTTTATAATTTTCGATGTACAGTGAATGTTCATTGTAACTAAGGGCTACACTACCAGAGTTCTTGTGAATTGTTTAGAAGGGTGTTACTTGATTTCCAAATATTTTGAGAGAACATTTTCTCACTGATTTCTAGTTTCATTCCATTGTGATCAGAGAACGTAATTGTTGATTTTGTTAGGTGCCATCAAGTCGGCCATGACAGGATCTGAACCTAGTCCTGTCCTGCACCATTCTCATGCTTCCTGTCACACAAGAGCCCATTGCAGCTGTCACCATATCAAGTTGAAGGTCTTCCTCTCTTTTTCTGA